TTTCTTATTTATGCCGAACTCGCCTTCGGCTCGCTCGGCATTCGTCGACACAATTTTTAAAGGCCATACTTCTATTAGACCAAATAAGGTCATCTATGACTGTATCTACGAATGCTGAGCGAGCCGAAGGCGAGTTCGGCATAAATCCGTCAGAGAAATTGTTGCTATAATTCTAGATCACGTGTCTTTTTTATTTATGCCGCACTCGCCTTCGGTTCGCTCGGTATTTGGAGACGGCGTCTTAGAGTTGTATAATCCCAGCAGAACAAATAGCATCTACTTCTAAGTATTCTCAATTAATTAATAATAGCCTGGAGCACTCGAAGATGCTCTATAGCTGTTTAGGCCTTTTACGGAACTTTTCTGACTGTTCTAGACCTTTCGAGGCTTGTATAGGCTATGATATTCTATAAAACTCTTGAAAGGACCTTAAAGGTGTCCAAAGGCATATGGAATTTTTGGAAAAAATCTCCGAAAAGTGCTAGAAAGCTTTGGAAGCGCGTCACTGAGATTTACAGATTTTACAAATCTACGTGTCTAACGTAATTCCCATCTGTGCCACAGAAGAAAAATTCAACCTCAACCCAGGTTCGAACACGCAACCTCCGGATTTATAGCCCAACGTTCTACCATTGAACCACAAAGTCGGTTTCCATAGACCTTTGAACCTTTTCCGGAACATTCCAGAACTTCCCGAGCGTGTCTAGAGCTAGAGCTGCTAGTTCTAGAAAGTACCTACAACGCTTGGAAAAGGGACCTAGGGTGTGCTGGTAATAATGCAAAAGGTTTGGAACGGAGGCGTTGACAAGCTTCGGAAACTTGGAAACTACCTCGCACAGCCTTCGGTCGCTTTCCAAAGTGATCTTCAGAGCATTCAAAGGCTCTCTCAGAGACCTTTTTAGAGGTCATTTTCAAAAACATTGTTTGAAGCTTCACTTCTGATAAACACAATGTGCTCTAATTGACGTTCGTGAGAAGCTTCTTCAAGGTCTTGGATTTTGCAATGCACTTATTTCAAAGCATCGCTTGGCTTAGATCCGTTCCGGGAGAACGATTCTCGTCCCAGATTCGCACGTCGACCTTGGCCCTTGCTCCTCAAAAGTCGCACTTTGCGTACGGCGAACCGACCGTTCGACTTCTCCCACGAAACCGTCGTCGCCGAATTGGGGGGGTTTTCTTCGCGTCCGTACTTCGGGGATTAACACGCTTTCGATGACCGGTCTTATCGAGTAGGTCAGCGGTGCGAGGTTAGTCAACACTTTTTCGCACGTACTGATAAATGTCTTGGAGACGTTTCGCGTAGTGCGTCACCGACGACGGGTCGACGAAGAGCATGGGTCATCGCGACTCCGGCGTCATCGAGGGAACCGAGTGTCGAGGTAGGTTTTGCGGTTTTGGGCCTTTTGTTTTGTTTTATCCCTTACGTAACCGATATCGAGTGTTTGCGTCGAATTTATTTTGGTATTTTATCGCTTGTTTTGGTCACCTTTTTTCGCGGAGAAATTGGGCGAAACGACGGATTGCGTTACGATACCCTCGGCGCGAAGACGCTGCGACGTTAAGCGTCCCAAATTAATTGTAAGTATTTAACTTTTCAGATCGAATTGTTGAAATTGAAATACGCCGAAGATATCAATCAGTGTGTAGTGGAAAAATACGGTGTGGTGTTGAGAGAAAGGGTACAAAACTTCTGAGTGTAATTTTGGTACTTAAAGCAAGGAGGAGGAGAGTTTGTTTTAACGTTTAATAATAATTTAGTTTCTTACACGTAAAACCAGTGAGTAATTGCGTTAGTGACAATGAGTAATCAACCGCGGAGAGGTTACTTCCATTTTTCCTTTCAGAGGAATAAAAATTGCGACCAGAACAATTCGGAGCAGCAGGCGGGCCTTTTAAAAGGTTAATTTCTCATTATTGTACCATTTCATTCGCACCTTGCAAACAAGTTTACCTGGCGAGTGAGAACACTCACCAAATTCCCTACAATTAGTAATAGATCGAAAAACGCAATAAACATCCGTAAACAAGCCGATTAATTCAAAGGTCTTGATCGAGGCCAAAAAAATCCGCTACGACTCGGACCATAGTCTTCGATGAATTAAAATTGCATTGCGCAATTGAAATCCTTTGGGAAGTTCTCGCACAAGAAAAAAACGGGAAAAATAATTGTAAAAAGCGAACCCGTGACCCCACCTCCACTCCCGCCCCTTCCCTTCAGGTGTATCTACATGTTTTTTTTTTAAATATTCTGGCACAAAGACAGTAAACTTCTTGAGAAATTAAGAATATGTTAAAAAGTAAGAACCCTCCCCCCATCCCCGCCCCTTCCCCTCGGGTTTCCCCTACATTGTTTTTTTAAATATTCTGGCACAAAGGCAGTAACGTTCTTGAGAAATTAAGAATAAGTCAAAAAGTAA